TCACGAGTACCTCCACGTGACACTCACATGGATAAATAGCATTAATATAATATACCAACGAAATAAGTTTGGATTTATATCAAAATATAAAAAGAATAACAAAATCTAAACTCAACTAATATATAGAAGCATTCGTGTCTGTTTACCCAATTCGTTTTTAAATTTATTAGATATTATTTTGTTTTCAATTGCGAAAATGACAATAAGTCATCAAATGCTGACCTCACAGCTACTCTTCTCCAACACCATACAGATGACAACATTCACCAGAACTCATTCCACGCCCTCAACACAAATTACACAACACAGAAGACACCGTGAGCTGAAGAAGGCCTCAACATACACTTCTGTTCTGCGGGAGCAGTACGTTACAAATTTCAACTCTACACTGTGTAAATTATCGACGAAACCGAACTAAAAAGACGAAACTTAAAAGTGAAGCTATAGTATAAAGTAGCTTCCTTTTAGAAAATCAAACCAGTTTATCGTTATATGCTCTTTATATATTTGAGATGAGAGCAGTTTTCGAAACATATTGGGTTGAACTAACATCAAATACCTTGAGCTTTATCACTTGTTGAAACGACACACATTAAGATAGAATCTTTGACAGTATAATTCTGTGTCAAGTATGCATAATTTCTCTGTTTATATGATTATCATTTGACTTAAGGTTCAGCCAACTGACTCTATCAAATAAGGAAGATCGGTATGGTGATGTAATGGGTTGGATGTTTGTCTGACTATTTACTACAAATAACAACTTCTTTAATCAGAGACAAACTTGAAACTAAAGTTTTACAAAAGCTTAGGTAGGAATTTATGTACGTTCACTTTTAGTTTTGATGGATTAAGAAAAAACACTATTTTTACGACCAGGAACAGAAGAGTTTTTTTCCTAGATATGTTAAGAAACGATTTACAATGTTAATCAGACAGTTCAAATAGTTTATCATTTATCTGACAACAAAGGAATATATATATATATATATAACATTTATGCAGACAAGTCTTTTATTGAAATATAGCTTCTAACATTTTACTGAGTTTTGGGTTCATCAAGTAAACCGTCAGGTAAGTTTATAATTTTCACACTGATTTTGAAGAGCTTCGTTAAGACTGGATAACATCAGTTTTGTCTCAAGTTTATCAAATGAAACAATGAGAACTAGAGTAAACATATTCAGCATTTCAATATTTTCTCTTTCGATAAGCATATTATCATAATTGAAATTACGAAAATAGTCTCACCTCCTTGTGGAAAGAACTGGGCGTATATATCTTTAAAGGTATTCTCATTGACAATTCCCGTTGGACAAGCCTATGAAGAAAACGGTGCCAGTCATTTATCATATTAACCAAATGAGCTAGTCTGTTTTTACAGATAACGGAAAAGAATAATAGTACAACGTGTGTGAGCTATAAATATAAAAGAAAAGGAAGTTTTATGCAACTGTTCTGGATTTCTTCAATATAAGTGATAACGAAACGCACACATACACAAGCTTGCATTATATTCTGTGTGCGAAACTTCATAAGTAAGACTGAACAGCAGGTTGTACAGGTTCCATATTATGTATGCGGATAAAAGAGTCTTTCAGAACGATGCGGTAAAACCACTTTAGTGATGAAAGGAAAGAGAATGAGACAGGAAATGTGACGGAGTGCACTTCATAGTTATAAGCTGGGCTTCATCAGATAGTGCGTTCCTTTTAACTCTATAATTTAGTTTCTCATTTTTACAGTCACATAGCTTGAAACACTGTTAGTACTTAATAATTTAACATCGCTATCATGTTAAGTTGAATGTTGAAAATAACCTGTAATTATAACAATAACACATTTTCCATATCGTATTTATAGGGATGACACGTATGTTTCATATTATAGTTACAGTAACGACACGACTTACATATTATATTTATAGTGCTGACACGTGTGTTTCGTATTATATTTACAGTAATGACACGTGTGTTTCATATTATAGTTACAGTAACGACACGATTTACATATTATAATATGAAACACACGTGTCATCACTATAAATATGGTGACAGTGCTGACACGAGTTAAACAGCATAGCTATAATTTTAGGGATAAGACGTCCATATACCACATTTATAAATATTTTTATATATGGTAGTTGTAATAAAGATACACTTTTAACATTATAGTGACAACCCGTTTTCCATATTATAATTGTTAGCATTATATTAACTTGCGTAAGTTTATGTTGTTTTAGCTTGAAGCTACACAATGAGCTCCCTGCGCCGGGGATTGAATCCCTAATTTTAGTGTCATAAGAGTTCAAGCTTCTTACGTGGGAGACCTAGATGTACACGTACAAAATAATTTGTAGTCGAACCCTCACTAAAGCCTTGGTATCGGACAGTGATTTTCCTGAGGAGTGTAGAGTAGATGCTTGTAGCACACATACTTAACTGTTTCTCTTTTTGTACACTTCCGAAGTGTTTTAAGATAAACGAATAAGGTATGGTTGGACATTTCCAATTTTAAGACACTGGTTTCATAGTGTGCAAAAAATTATAATGAATACATATATCTTCTATTTTATTATCGTCGTCGTTCCCTGATGGTTCAGCGGTAAGCTTGAGAGCTCATAACAGTAAAATTCGGGTTAGTTCTCTGTGGTGGACACACCGCGGGTAACCCATTGTACAAACTTTTTACTAAAATCAGAAAAAACTATTCACCTTATAGAGTTGAACTATTCTGCATATACCAAAATACTAAACACTCCTGCAAGCGTAAGTACAATTTGGTTTTGCTGAGATTATCAAGCAACCTCCAAGACACACTGGGTGTTATTAACAGGAGTGATAACTTAGCGATTTTCCACTTTTTGTAGCTCAAACTGTGATAATCCCAACTATCACATATTGGGTGTTATTAACAGGAGGGCCCGGCATGGCCAAGTGGTTCGGGCGCTCGACTAGCAATCTGAGGGTCGCGGGTTCGAATCCCCGTCCCACCAAACATGCTCGCCCTTTCAGCCGTGGAGGCGTTATAATGGTCAATCCCACTATTCGTTGGTAAAAAAGTAGCCAAAGTGTTGGTGGTGGTGGGTGCCTTCCCTCCAGTCTTACATTGCTAAATTAGGGACAGCTAGTGCAGATAGCCCTCGTGTAGCTTTGCGCGAAATCCAAAACAAAGAAACAAACAAATTAACAGGAGTGATAACTTAGCGACTTTCCACTTTCTGTAGCTCAAACTGTGATCATCCAAACTATCACATATTTTCAGTTAATATGCCCTTACTTCACATACTTTCAAATCAATTCATTAGGAAATATTCGAGATATAAAATGTCCAAGTTTGATTTAATTTCTTCCTTTTTCTTTTCTTCGCACCGAAAGTACGGAAATTTTATTTGAAAGAAAAACATACTTCACTTTCATGGATTTCTTTCAAACTTTTACTCTTAGGTAAAGCTGTAGTAAAATTTTCAGACCGATAGCTCACGTGGCTTTTTGCGTAGGTGTGCGCAAAACTTTTCGTCAAAATTGAGCGGTTTTTGTTGAATAACTTTACACTTATGTCTTATATTTAGACCAAATTTGACACTTAATTGTAGGTTGTAAAGATCTACCAATGTACCAAATGAACAATTTCTAGTTTTTAGTCATTCGGATTAAAGACGGTTGATTTAGATCAGCAAAACTGTAGGGTGAAAGTATGTGCAGATACATAAGCACTGGTTAGGCCAAGAAAACTAGATTAGCAGTTTCTAGCTCAAGTTTTCAAAAGAATCACATGGGTGGACGGTTATTATTCATTATTTATTACCAACTTTTAAGCACAAATTTGCTAGTTATATGAAAGTTCCTAATTAAAGAGAGTTTAGCGTCACGTGATATTAACTTTAGGAATTAGCGTAAATAATGATGCTGTACCGAGTGCATGCGGACGATGTATTTGTCATATCATAATTTTTTTTGCGAACGTAGATCTACTGTTACGCTATTATAGTAGATGTACTGTTATACTATTATAGGCAGCTCTTCACTTTTATGTTTCGAAATAAAACAATCCTTTATGTAGGAAGAAGTCACGACGAATGTTATGCTTTTTAGTGAAAGATGTAACATATTTGAGAAAAAATAAACTCTTAAAAAAGAAATCCAAGAAAAGCAGGAACAAACTAAACGTTAAAAAATGTGTTTTCAAAAACAGTACAAGAAGTTGTGTTGTTAGTCATTGAATTTTACGTGAAGACTAAAACGTCTGACTGTTATCTGTTTACTCAAAATGTAGTTGAATTATTCACATACACAGCAGAAAAAAAAAGGTTATTTCTTGAAATGCTACATAATTTATGTTTTTGTTTCTTACGAAAAACAAACCAGTGTATAAGAGAACTTAAGCCTACCTGTTTGAATCCTTGATACATTAATTTCAGTTCTTTTTTTGTGAACTTTGTTGTACGACATAAGGCATCAATCCCATCAGGCTTGCAACGTATTACTGTCATTTCTAAATCCTCCACTGGATTTTCTAAAGACAAAAAAAGAATTAAATAATTGGCTTATATGGTTATAGTGAAAGATTTAACTGCATTGAACTTTTAATAAAACTTTCATACAGAATTACTACGACAGTTCAATTCCAGCAACAAAACTTTTGATTTGGACAAAGTTTAATACTTACTTTCCTTTAGGCAAGTGAAATTATCTAGTAGAAATCACTAGAACTTAGTCGACTATAAGAGGCTTACTGGATGTAACGGAAGGAAAACAGTACCCAGAAAAAAATAGAAGAAAAAACACATACACATAAAATAATATTCAACGAATCCCCCCCCCCCCAACATAAATAAATAAATCTAATATAAAATGACAATTGGCTCCCAATATTCAGGTTTTCAGAAAACTATTTTCAAAATTCTTTCCGAAGCAAACTCTAATATATAGATCAATAAACAAAAGATACCCAAAACTGGTAAGTTTGAAGAAGTTTATGTACACAAAAGTTGGATTGATTATAAGAGTGGTAAACTAAACGTATTTACAGGACAGGATCTTTATGAATTCTTCTCTGATTATCGTATCATTATTTTATTATTAACATATTTCTCTTGTAAAGTAAAACAGTACATAACAGAACTAAAAAAGTAATTTTATACAATAAAATTGTATAAACATAAAAATAAAACAAAACTATAAGCCGTGTACAACTACAACAATATTTATTAATCAAAACCAATAAAATCACACACGAATGTGAAAAATAATATTTTGCAATTTTTTTCAAATTTTGTTAATGAATATATTGATAAAGCTGAAAAAACATGTCATCAGACATGTCACAATCGATTTTTAAGACTATCTTGAAGAAGAAGAGTTCTCCTGATTTTCAGATTTATATCAGTGATAGCTCTGCGTTAGTTGGTGAGCTTTTCAGTAGTAGAAAGAACATTTAAGAATTTTTAACAGTTTATACATGAACATAACTTAACGGTTTGTCATTATCATGAATACTTTTTAAGGTTTCTTAATTGGGTTTTCAATAGAACGTCATGCTATACTGATTTACCAAATTCAGTTACAACAGTACAAGTTGTTGATAGAGTCAACCTATTTTCAATAAAAGTTACCATAGAAGGCCGAAAATATAGCTGTTTTAACATATATGAATTAAAACATTTTACAAAGTCACCTAGAGTGCAATCGTATATCTGATCCATCACACACTGTCGGTCCGTGACTTTCTTTTAATATGTATCAAAAGGAATGGACAGGCTGGTGCACACAAACACATACAGATGAACTAGACTGAATATATATAATTTCCATCACTTTCTTATGGAGCTATGGAGGCCCAAATTTAATTAGCAATTCATTACTAAAACTTAGATTGAAGAAACATAAAGTTCAAATTTTTTTATTCGTAAACTTTTAGTCTCTGCCTTATCATTCGGCTACGAGTTCGTCGCGCTATGTATTGAAGATGTTTTCAACAATCCCATTGCAGAAGAAGTAGAACATAATAATAATTAGAAATCCTGTAGTGCGTAACAACTAAGGCGTCAGTACAGCGTTATTACTGACAGTTATAACAGACTGCGGCCCGGCATGGCCAGGTCGGTTAAGGCACTCGACTCGCAATCTGAGGGTCGCGGGTTCGAATCCCTGTCACACCAAACATGCTCGCCCTTTCAGCCGTGGGGGCGTTATAATGTGACGGTCAATCCCACTATTCGTTGGTAAAATAGTAGACCAAGAGTTGGCGGTGGGTGGTGATGACTAGCTGCCTTCCCTCTAGTCCTACACTGCTAAATTAGCCCTCATGTAGCTTTGCGCGAAATTCAAAAACAAAACAAACAATAACAGGCTGCAAGTCTTCGCGATGTGATGTACAAAACAAAATACATCAAGGCTTAGGTATATGGTTCTGATTTTCAATAACATTGCAAGTCAGACGTTCTACACTTACATTGAATGTACTGAGCTTAAAACTTTGAATTTAACAGACCAGAATAAAGGGTATATAGTAGCAGCAGTAAACACGTATTGATCGTTAGTTTAGTGAGACTTACTTAAAAACCGTAAAAGACACAACTAGCAAACTGTACATGTTTGCTACATCTGAAAGTACTTAACTTCGATCATTACACTTTTGTTGACGAGTTATCAACACCAACTGGCAACATTACAAGCAAAATTATGTCATATGTAAAAAATTAAAATAATGGTTTTCTGCCTTATAACGTTTTATGGGTACAAATAATATACATGATTTCATACGCCTTAGGCTTAGGTATATGGGCTTTACCACGATTAACCAGTTAATTAAACATGTGACCTTTAAAATACTTATTCATAAGTAACCAATGCCCTCCTATTCAATGTGAAAATACTTGAAAATCAAAAGCATTTAAATATATAGTATACTGAAAGAATATTCGAGAACTCAGAAACATAGATAGCCTATATATTAAAAAAGTATCTTAAAAATGTACATCGAATAATATGAATCACTACTAAACGTATGGTTTTTGGCTCACTACAACTTTTAAGTGATTTTCTTGTTCAAATTTTAGTCTGGCTGAAAAATTAAGTATTAATTCGCGTGAAACATTATACTATTGCATTTTTATGTTATTACTTCTTATTTGGAAGTATTAATTCTTGTTTTTATTTCGGTATTTCTTACTTGAACACATTGTTGTTCTAACTTTATTGCGACACAACAATTTTTATTGAAGGACGATCATTTATCTTTATTTTCATAAACAACGAATTTTTATCGAAGGACGATCATTTATCTTTATTTTCATAAACAACGAATTTTTAAGACGTTGCACCAGTACTTTATTTATTTAATAACAATATTTTTTCAACATTTTTATATACCCTTTTTAGCTGTGAAATATTGTTTTAATGAATATTGGTTCGTTACATTTTCAGAGCATTTAAGCATATTGTTGCCTTACTTGTATTCACCAAACAACAAAACTTTTAAGTAAATTGTTGCCTTACCTGTATCCACGAAACAACATAATATTTTATTGCATTGTTGTTTTAGCTGTGCTCACAAACAATGGAATTTTAAGTACATTGTCACCTTTCCTGTATTCAAGAAACAACATAATTTTTACATGCATATTTGCTTTACATCTATTTATCAAACTCACTGTATTTAAAAACTGTTTTGTCTGTCTTCATACTCTCCTCAGCTGAATAACTAATAAAGCAGCATAATTGACTTGATTAATATGAACATTCATATTTTTGTTACGTAGCTTATGAAGAGGGAAGAAAAACGCCAGTAATAACAAGGTTATAGCATAAAAATATTTAATATTCAATACTTAGTCTGAAGTTTGCAGAAGAATATAACGCATTAATGTGCAAAGAATACTAGCCTTCTAAGCATTGCATTTTTCATTCGTAGAGTACGCACTCGTTTTCCAGTTCTACGTGTCTTTTCTTTTTAAAGCGACATGTATGATTATGTAATTTTAAATCCCTATCGTCCGGACTCAGGAAAGGAAAGAATCCAGAACTAGGCTCATTTCAGCAGTATTCATCACTCAGAAGAGTAGATATGCAATAGTTCTTTATGCATGTGATTCTTCTGTTGAATAAGGTATTGAAAAAGTGTTTTTGATGACACTTGCTGTTTGATGTAGCATGTTTTCACAACGGAGAAAAAAATCCTAAAGAAACTAGCTCTGCGCTTCACGTGAACTGTAATCTTGTTATTTGATACGATCCTAAAAAAAATAACCTTTGTAGCAAGTGTTTTCTTATAATACGAATAATCTGACACGTTGTCCGTTACGTATACAGACCCTATTTTAATCTAATCTTTGCGTGTTTCTGTGTCCACATCAAATGAATATGGACCGAAAGGTTTCGTAGAAAAATGTTTCATTTTGTTGTACAGAAACAGTTAATAAAAATATATCTAGATAAGGTTGCTTTGCAATAGAAGTTTCTTTGTGTATATTATAAAATACACAATAATCCCTAAATTTTTAAAATATTTTCAATACTTATGTATTGAAAGTTATCAGTTACGTTTGGGAGTAAAATACTCAAGCTTCAAAAAGACTAGCAGGATAAACTAATCCTGTAACAATATTAATATTATATTGTTGTTTATAACTTCAATCTCTTATACTTTTTTATCCAATTTCATAACAAAGGTATTTAGTTAACATCATAATGTGTGTTTAGTCACTTATACTTCCTGACCAGTTTTGTGGCAAGTGTTTTTTTTAGTCCTGTCACAGTGCATGTTCATTTAATAATATCCTCTTACTAGTACTCATGATTTTCGAACATTTATCCTACAGAGGAGTTTCCAATATCTACTCGTGTCACTGACATACAATATTCACCCGTACATGTCTTTGTTGTAATTCTGTTGATTCAAACAGTCTAAAACCTTAAGCCTAAAAACAACAGACTAGTTTATTTTGCAGTTTAAACGCCGAAAGCCGGCGAACTGTTGGAAACCATTAGGCCTAAAAATTGTTATAACAATCAAGTTAACTGCATATGTTTCTTCACATTCTTCTTAACTTATTCATTACGGCTGAAAATCAGAGATGTGTAAAAATAACATTTCAGGCCTATATTTTATATTATATGGTGCTTACTCAAATAATTAACATTTAGCAAAACTTTAATAACTGGTAACCTCTGTAATGTAAACCAACATAATTTCATTATGTAAATACCTGAGGATCTCATACATCCTCTTCGCTAATAAGATATTTTTCTATATCTATACATTAGCGAAAAGATTCACAATGGGATATCCGTGCTATGTCTGTCTTCTCTCGATGCCCCCCAGTGGCACAGCGGTATGTCTGCGGACTTACAACGCTAGAATCCGGGTTTCGAGACCCCTGGTGGGCAGAGCACAGATAGCCCATTGTGTAGCTTTGTGCTTAATTACAAACAAACAAACAAACTTTCCTCGACACTAATGTCCAAACCGTTCAGCTTATCGCTGAACCCCCGGGGGGACCAATTAGAGATTTA